AAATGTATTTTACAAGCATGATTAATCTCAGAGATCACATCAGAACTAATAAACATTTCATCCAATTGCGGTCTTTCTGGGTCCAAATCCTCGTCATCCACCAAGCCTGGAGGATCGTTTTTCACATTTACACAATTTGAAAAACCCAATTGAAAAATAACAATCAAAGATAGTTAGGCTCAACTTAATTTGGTAGCTCCCTCTTATGACCTAAATACTGCCTAACTTCACTACTGCTCCCCCTTGCCCTGAGCAATATTCCAATGAGATAAGCTAATCTCTTTCTCCTGGTTATACATTTTGTTAACCTTCAATTATTATCCGTAATCTAAAGATGGTAGTACACACAAAACATGATACAGATATCCCCAGTCCTAACCCATGAATAATGTTTGTATCAATCTAATTCCTTTGATCCACCCCCTAAGAAAATCTCTCTCCCCTTCTATTCTGGAGTTCTACCTCTACCAGCTATTTCCCCTAGTGGCCATTAAATACTCAGCTCCCGTATGTTATTTTTCTTACTCTATCCTGTCTACTATTCTGCTCATGATGGATTGCATATCTCTTGACCTCGGCTAACGAAGTAGTTCCCCATCCCACTAAAGTCCTCTTAATATTCCAGCTTATTTCTGGTCTCATTCCACTAAGGAATGCTATTTTTTAGCTACTGATGGTACGGAGTATCATTTCCCTGTCCCTGGGGAGGCTCAGGTATTTCACTTGGCTGATGGTCTCACTGTCTTCCTGTTTACATTCATGTACTTTGGAGAAGTCAGCATGTCGATGGTAAGGTTCCCTTAAATTATTACACAACTCAGTTATTTTCCCAACATATTGCCCATCATTTGCCCATGGTAGGACTGCTCCATTGGCATCCCCTGAAACAGCTGCCCCCGAACAGCTGCCCAATCTTTCCCAACTAGGGTTCTGACTGTCCTCTCAATTTCCCCTGTGTTTAGCTTAAAGCTTGCTGCTAGACTCTCCAAATCCCTCCTGAACCCCTCTGTTCCTGTCTTAGGGTGCACTACACCCTCTATAGCTCTTACTACCTCTTTCTCTCTATCTAACTCTACCCTTAACCTGCCTCCCTGGCTTATTGTAGTTTTCTAATCTTTTTAACTCCCTGTTTTTAAACTCTCTGTGTTTACTCTCTCTAGCTTTTCCTGCCTCTTCCCTCTCTACCCTCCTATCATTACTGAATCAATGATAATACATTTACATTCTAGTCACCCAGCAGACGCTCCTATCCAGAGTGACCTACAGTTAGTGAATGCATTTATTTTTTTACTGCCCCCCCCCCCCGTGGGAATCGAACCCACAACCCTAGCGTTGCAAACACCATGCTCTATCAACTGAGCTACATCCCTGCCGGCCATTTTCCCCCCTACCCTGGACGACGCTGGGCCAATTGTGCGCCGCCCATGAGTCTCCCGGTCGCGGCCGGCTGCGACAGAGCCTGGATTCGAACCAGGATCTCTAGTGGCACAGTTAGCACTGCGATGCAGTGCCTTAGACCACTGCGCCACTCAGGATAATAATAACTGCAATAACTATCAATAATAACTATTACGAATTATATTGTCCCCTTTTTCTGATGTTATAATTGTAGTCTATTCCATCACTTTAGTTTAAAATATAAATTTATTTATAACATCCAGAACCCACCACAGGCTGGCGCTATTCCCCCAGCACAACAGCCAATGCCACTTGCTTCCCTGTAACGAAAATAAATTATCGTTTTAAAATTTTCCAACTATTTGTATTTTCCCGCTAACCCATTTCAGTTCGCTATTCAATATCTTTAACAGTTCTCTCTGATTCGGCCCCGATCAATAAAACAAATGCTTGATATTATTTATCAGCATACACTTAATGACATTCCTACCATTTGAACGATGTCCTGTCTCTCACTCCCCCCCTCTCCTGCTCCTTCCTACATTATGGGGGAGGCGCGGGAAACTTCCCTACAATCTTCCTTCTTAGGTAATAATGTCATTCGTACTTGTAACATATTTTCATAGACCTATCTAGAATATTACTAAAGCTATCTAATGCAACTTTTAATACACGTAAAAAAACTCTCTCTCCCTACACCCATTCCCCATTGAATAAGTGCGTCTTCCTAGTTACCCCATAACCACGCCTCAAATCTCTTATTCAGCATTTAACCAACCAAATACTAAGTAGTATCCGGTTATCATTCATACCCGCCGTTGAATTCCCTCATACACACATATTTCACCTTATGCCATTCAAATGCCCAACACAACATAATAGTTCAATGCAACCCTCTATTGGTTCTTCAAGTCGCTCCGGACCAGAGCGTCTGCCAAATGACCAAAAATGCAAATGTAAATATTCTCTACTTTCTCACTCATGACGTACGTCTACGTTTGAGTGCGAAAGTTCATACATATGCATCGTTGGACTTTATAGGTACCTCTCAAATAATCGCTTTGTGGTGTTTTTAGCCAATTCTTAATTGACACAAATCATTTTTTCAAACATTTTCCTTTGTTACCGTTAAAGCACTTTCGCGCTTAAAAAAACACTCGCTGTCTCTAGCCCCTCCTTTCGCTGTTTTTTCAAATTCATTTTATATGCATCTGCCTACTAACTTTTTTACTTCGAGATGCCCAATAAATTCATACCTCTTCTCCCAAATGGATCCATAAAACATATTTATTCGATCTCTTTAGAAGTTTTATTTCCCATGGTGGAAAAATAAAAATCCCCCCTTTAGTAATAATTCCCAGAATTATTCTTCTAGGAGCTATTATTTTAGTGCGTCTCTTGAGCCAATGTATGATCTGCTTTTGTAATTAACCATTTAAAATGATTTAACCCCTAACCCAGAGCTTTTATTTAAAACTCCGGTTTCATGAAAAGAGTTAGATAACCATTTTTTCTCACGCGACTTATTTTTTTAGCTCCTTCCTAGAAACAAATATCACGTATACTGATGGATTCCCAAGTCTCACACGTACACAACATTATACAATCATTTGCTAAACCTATTTGTAACCTAGAGGTCGTAACTGCTCTAGTTTCATGAAACACACAGAGTTCTAGCAAATCCCCAGTCGTATACGCGACTTTTGACCTGTTTTATGTATCCATAGCACACGACAAAAAATCATCCCTTTCCCTGTTTATTGTAGCACTGTACCCAGTGCTACAAGTTCAAATCATTTCACCAAAATCCATGAATAAAAATTACTGACCTTTTCCTTGCAGTTTGGATTTAAATGCTTTTTCAAACTTGTTAACGTCTTTATCGTTCATAAAGAGTAATCACCGGCCTGTTTATAACCTTAACGTCGAAGGCCAGGACTCTTTCACGGATGCTATCACCCGCCCGTGCACGGGTTTCGGTGTTCTTAGAACGATAAAGATGTATTAAGCTCCGCTCAGAAGGACCAATCTGTCATGTGAATTTCTATCTCTAATTCAACCTAAGCTTGAATCATTACCAGAGGTTGTAAGGCTCTGGTTTTAATCATCAATGATACAAGGTCCACAACCCACAAGTATTTATCTGTATATTTATTCATGGAGAGCTCTCCCGCCAAAGACACAAACATACGATTTTATACCTCCTGGACTTGACTCCTCCCACCTTTAGGTGACTTTTCTAAACAGTTTCCGCCTTCCCCTTCACCCTTGAATGTTTAGTACCGCCCCCTCTGTTAGTGGGTTGACACTACATGATAATTCTAACATTTATACTGTATTTGGGGTGCAATCCTTTAGTCATTATTCTTAAAATCCAAATTAATCTAACACTATGCAAGTAGGCAACTAGAGACGCCGCTGACAGACTAGCGAGATGACGGAAATAAGGAAATGTTTAAACGTCCGCGAGTCCTGCCATGTCTACAGACACCCCCCAAACAAAACATCCTGACACTCTGAGAATGAGTGCACAACTGGTAAATAGTCACTTATTGATATGTCAGTCGGGTGGCTAGCTGCCGGCAGTTACGTTAAAGGAATCTGGCTAGTTGGCTAGCTAGAAGCTAACATATAAACAGAGCCTGACCTCAGCAGGAGCAAAATATAGACTACTAAGTTCTCATCATAACTTTGCTTTAGTTTACAGAGAGTACTAGTGAGGCAGACAGTGGCGAGGCAGACAGTGGTCAGGGTGAGGCAGACAGTGGCGAGGCAGACAGTGGTCAGGGTGAGGCAGACAGTGGCGAGGCAGACAGTGGTCAGGGTGAGGCAGGAGGAGGTAGATGAGACACAGAGAGAGGAAGCATGCAGAGAGAGAGAGGTTAGTACAATGGTTCCCAAACTTGGGGCCTGGGTCCCATGAGCAAATCTATGCTAATATTATCAAACTAATTAAGAACCAAAAAAAAACCATCTCCCTATCTTTCCCATCTCCCTATCTTTCCCATCTCCCTATCTCTCCCATCTCCCTATCTTTCCCATCTCCCTATCTTTCCCGTCTCCCTATCTTTCCCGTCTCCCTATCTCTCCCGTCTCCCTATCTCTCCCGTCTCCCTATCCTATCTCTCCCGTCTCCCTATCTTTCCCATCTCCCTATCTTTCCCGTCTCCCTATCTCTCCCGTCTCCCTATCTCTCCCGTCTCCCTATCTCTCCCATCTCCCTATCTCTCCCGTCTCCCTATCTCTCCCGTCTCCCTATCTCCCTATCTCTCCCGTCTCCCTATCTCTCCCGTCTCCCTATCTTTCCCATCTCCCTATCTTTCCCGTGGGCCGGCATTTAAAATGCAATCAAATGCCACCAATCCAGTTCTATAAATGTCCCAGGTTTTAGTTTATATCGGTGGTTGTTCACCGTATCTTTATCACCCTCTACATCACTGGGATCTACTTACATCGAAGGAGAAGAGGTAGGGTGCGATTTGGGACCGACTAAGTGTATTTGTTTCACAGTTGAATTTATTGGATGCAGTTTGGTCACAATTCTTTCTTACTGCAAGCTGATTGGCTGAACCTCTGACTGCTTCCTGTACCTCTTCCTGTAGGATGGTGTGGAGCGTGGTTACTATGCTGTGTTTGACGGGCACGGCGGCGTGGACGCTGCCATCTATGCTGCCACCCACCTGCACGTCACTCTCAGCCAGCAGGGGGGTCTGCAGAGCGACCCAGCCACTGCCTTCAAGACAGCCTTCACCCGCACTGATGACATGTTGAGAGGGAAAGCCAAGCGAGAGGTAGGCATGGTAGAGATTGGTGCTTTTATCTGCTCAGACATTGATCCTAATAAACCCTGACTCTAACCGAACAACCCTTAGAAATGATTCTCATAGATCTGAGAGGATGGGATAGGTGTAGCAATATAACTCCACACTGTTACAATATTACCCATCCCCATCCTTTTAGATCTGGGAGAAATGTAAAGGCTAGGAGTAAGGGGTTGATTTCGGACTGGACAGTCTGTTCATCCTCTATGATGTGAATGTGTTGGATGCTGGGAGGTTGTCTGTCTTTATGGTGGGGGGTGTGTCTGTCTGTGACGGGGGGTGTGTCTGTCTGTGACGGGGGTGTGTCTGTCTGTGACGGGGGTGTGTCTACAGCGTCTGCGCAGCGGCAGTACAGGCGTGGCGGTGCTACTGCAGGGGGAGTGGCTTCATGTGGCGTGGCTGGGAGACTCCCAGAGCATGCTGGTCAGACGGGGTCAAGACGTTACTCTGATGGACCCACACAAGCCTGAGAGAGAGGTCACGCACGCACACACACACACACACACACACACACACACACACACACACACACACACACACACACACACACACACACACACACACACACACACACGTACACACATACACACACACACACACACACACACACACACACACACGTACACACATACATACACACACACACACACACACATACACACACACATACACACACGCACGCACGCACGCACACACACACACACACACACACACACGCACGCACACACATACACGCACGCACACACACACACACACATACACACACACACACACACACACACACATACATACACACACACACACACACACACACACACAGTGCTAAACATCTTACCACTGCTGTCTTCCTATAGGATGAGAAGCAGCGTATAGAAGACCTGGGTGGATGCATCGTCTTCATGGGCTGTTGGCGTGTCAATGGAACCTACGCTGTCTCTAGGGCCATAGGTGAGTGGAACTACTTCCCTGCTCTTCTCCGCCATGACTCCACTGTTGCCTTGGCACCTCTGTCTTGAAATTGCATTTTTGCAATCCTCCGTCTCTTTAATTGATGATGCCTGTAACTGTATGTTCATATTTAATACTGAACTGACAAGCACAGACTGATATGCGAGGCAGGACCGTGCACATACAGTAATACTCACGTCTAATAACGAGCCTCCTTTTCCTTTACCTGTGAACCGCAGCCCCTACATACTTGACACTACTACATCTCCTTCCATCCCCAGGGGACTTTGACCAGAAGCCCTATGTCTCTGGGGACGCTGACTGTTCCTCCACAAGGCTACATGGAGACGAGGACTACATTCTCCTGGCCTGCGACGGTTTCTTTGACGTTGTCCGGCCCGCAGAGGTCCCGGTCCTGGTCGTCAGGGCGCTACGGGAGCATGGGGAATCCCAGGGGGCCGTGGGGGGGGCTGGGTGTGAAGAGGTCTCAGAGGGTGTTCTGGGGGAGAGCGTGGCCCAGGAGCTAGTGGCTCACGCTAAGGCAGCGGGCTCTAGTGATAACATCACCGTCATGGTGGTGTTTCTACGTCCCCCTGCGCAGCTACTGCTCCAGGACCAGAGCAACACCGCTGCTGCTACTAATGGGTCAGCCCAGGAGTAGGGGGAAGTTGCCCCTAGACTCTGATCTGGGGTAAGTTTTGCCTTAATGTTTAATGTTAGAATTGGGGGGAGGGGATCATCGCTGATTCTAGATCTGTACCTAGGGGGAAACTTCACTCCGCAGCTCCAGCCCAGGCCTCCAACTCCCAGAACACACCGGGGCAGTGAGACAGGAAGTCTGCTGCTGCTGCTACCCACAGTGCACGTTGGCGGGGAGGCAGGAATTGGACTGGATTTAAAAGAGGCTGGGTTTATTGTGTTACGACGTGACGGTGCCAAACTACTCAGTCACTGCGTGGTGTGATTAGCCTTTTGAATCACCGCTGGTGCTAAAACAGATATTCAACTGGACGGGAGAAGCTCTGTTCATACCAAAACAAGTCTTAACACAGACTAACAGCTTATACTATAGTTTTGGCAATGGTCATTAGCCGTGTGCTTGAGTAAGGCCCCATTCGTCAGTTCATGTAAGGGTGGCTCTAACATCCTCCCTCCATTTCTCTTGCATCATCAGTTCTTTGTTACAAGCTAAATGATAGCATGCTGGCATCCATGCTTCTATTTTCTTTCAGAAGGTGATAGAAACATAACGTTTCCTAACATCTTCATTTAAAAGGGCTGAGAGGATTCATCCTCTTAGACTGTTATAAAACGAGAGGTAAACCAGATGGGTCATTTATGTCAATACCTCAAACCACTTGGAGCTTTTACCCCTGTTCATATGATGTGTGATATTTGCAATTTTCTGTGTGTGTACATGTGAACTGTACACAATGGTGTGTGTGTGTACTGTACTGATCAAGGTCATTTCATTCTGCCATAAAATGACCTTTTTTTTCTGCCTTAAACATACAGTGTTGAGAAAAGTAACTTTCCCACTATGTCAGTATTACGGACCAATCGGCCTTCAGTCCACGGATATAATATATCCTGACCTCACGTCTTCGGGGCATTATCAGTGTTAAAAATGTCTGGATTGTGATTGGTTTGAGGGTGAAATCCAAGATGGCAGCACTTCAGTTTTTGGATTCAATGAGGGCCAACTGTGAGGGGTTCGAGAAAGAGAGTTGGTTAAACCTCTTCAAATGCAAATAGTCTTTGTTTCTTGTTCTGTGGAACAGCACAAGATGTGTGAATTAGCGGTGTAGTCATTCAGTATCAGTGTTCCCGTGTGGTTTGTTTTGGAGGAGGGTCTCTCTGTAGATGTGTGAATTAGCAGTGTAGTCATTCAGTATCAGTGTTCCCGTGTGGTTTGTTTTGGAGGAGTGTCTCTCTGTAGACGTGGTGGGCTTCAGGTCTAACAGGTCTCTACTGGAGTGCCTTTACTAGTCACCTCTTATGTAGTCGGCAGGTAGCTTAGTGGTTAAGAGTGTTGTGCCAGTAACCCGAAAGGACGCTCGTTCTAATCCCCGAGCCGACTAGGTGAAAAATCTGTCGATGTGCCCTTGAGCAAGGCACTTAATCCTAATTGCTCCTGTAAGTCGCTCTGGATAAGAGCGTCTGCTAAAATGGAAAATGTATTCACACCCTTACAATGTGTACAGCTGATGGCTAGCTGATTATTATAATCAGGAGAAAGAGAGTAGAGGGGAAATCGTGTTGGTTTCTACCTTTTGATGCCAAACTAACTCCTCATTCACAAACATATTTAGAAATATGTTTTTTATTGATTAGGGCGAGGTGTATCTAACCATCCTTTGGCTGTTTAACTTGTGTATACACACACACACAGTTCCGTAATTCTCTGGACTTAGTCAGACAGTATTACCACTTCCTGTTTAAAACCACAGCTTTATAATCTTTAATGTAGTCATATGCATACTCATCTCTTAACTGTAACCACTTGATATCATTTAAACCTTCAAAAACTCTGATAGTGTTTTTGCCACTCTTGGCCTACTGCCTTCCTCCTTGTTGAACCCTGTATTAAAACAACGTTTCCTAAATCAACTTTCATGTCTGGTTGGTTCTTTGCTTTGGGTAAATGGACCCAGTTGAACTGTAGCAGATTCTTAAAAGGACATTTGTGTTGCTAATAAACTTGAGCTATACTACTCTACTCTACTTCATTTAATAATTTGTTGTTTGACAGGGATCATGTGAAATATTTTTTGCTGTAGTTGATTTGTTGCACCAGATTGGAGACATCAGTGAGAAGGTATAAGTCTGTGAGGTGGAAATGAAACTACTGTCCTTTAATGAGTCTTTACACTGTTTTCCCTTTGCTTCCACACATTGCTAAGTGTTAAAGAGACACACACGAGCACCACTGTTTTCCTGGAAATCAAACCATTTCCCCACCAAATGAAAGACAATCCCATTTAAGCCAATGAGATGTAAGAGGTGAAAGGGAAAAGCTGGAACAAACTCCATTCCTTCAATAAGGAGGGAACTTTATTCCCTTTGACTTTCAGTTTCATTTGGCCCTTGTTCAAAAAGACACACAACCGCTTTCCACAGAATCTGCTTTAACCCAGTCAGCTATTCTCCAGTAGCCTACTAACAAAACATTCCTCTTATTGATTTAGGTTAATCAATTAAGTTGATAAATATACAATATTGATCCAAAGGTCCTTGTTCTTTTATTCAGGACTCCTAACAACAACACAATTCATTGGACTTGCTCGTGGTTGGTGTTTCTGTTTGCGGTGCAGCTTCTGTGGAGCTGTAACCTGCATAGTGTAGATTTCACAAGTATCCTTTTTATTTTTTTGTAATAAATATTGTACTTTTTTTAAACAAAACATCCACATCCCCCCCTTCCCAGACCCACCTGCTCACACCCCCATCTCCAGCACCCGCATAACTCTCTGCCACATGGCCTCAAACTGCACAATTTTGTTTCTCTGTCGCCCACGCACTTTCAACATTTAGATAAAGCGTTTGACCTTTTCAGTGTTATAAAAATTGAGGATTGGTTGATTTTTACAGTTTTTAGGTTTACCTTTTTTCAAGATGATTGACGAGAAAAGTATCGTGCAACCCACATGTGTATCGGCCTGTGACACATTTCTATCCCGCCCGCGCTGTGATTTGGGTTGTCAATTCATTTTGTGATTTGGGTTGTCAATTCATTTTGTGATTTGGGTTGTCAATTCATTTTGGCATGCTTCAATACAGCGGGTGGTTGGCTGGGCAGAGGCTGGCCCGCGATGCTCTGCACTACAAGTCACAGCAAGCACGGCCAACGTGCTGCACGCCAAACGGTGGTGCATTGCCACACACACACACCCCTAGTCCCTATGTAAGTCCCAGACCCAAACACACTGTATCATAGCATCACTAATGGCACTGACCGAATATTCTACTGGACCGAACATGTCAAGTTTCGATTCCAACGGGTCATTGCTGTAGCCTACAGAAAACGTCATCTTGGTTGTCAAAACGTTTATAAGATAAAGGATTCACACGCAGGTATACATTACTACAAAAGGACAATAGGACACATAAGCGAGTATAAATTAGTCAACAATTGAGTCATCTACTTTATGAAATTACAGCCTGATGCGCTCGCGTCGGTGAATTCAACATCAACCGCGCTGCTTCCGTGTGTCCCGTTTACCGCGCGCAGCGGAGGGAGAGTCTACAGACACATGCCACGGTCCTAGCGAGGCTACTCAAATGTTGCGGTCTGGCTTCGGTTTTTCAAGCTTGCCAATGAATAACCAAAAGACAAAAACCTGCTACGAAACACAATACAAAGGAGAAACATGAAGGCCTATTACAGCAACATTTTGAGCAGTAGCCTAGGCTGGCTACTCAACTACAAGACATTCTGAGTGCCCCATACAGCAACGCTGCATTCAACCACACCAGTGATCCATGCAGTGCAAAAAAAAATTACAACCATAATTTGTTTAAATGTTACAATAACCTAGCAACGTTTTTGTTATTTGAAGTAATTAAATACTTTTGGATTAGGGTCACAACATATTATGGACATCTGAACGCATAGCCGCAAAGGCTTGACAAATAGTTTTGATATCTTATTTTAATATCCCCCAAATGATATATACAGCATACGTGTACATTATAAAGGGCCATGTTTTTTCTAATAGAACAATGGCCAGTTTGGATCGCAGCTGTATGCACATAAAGCATAATAACATAATAGTCTATGTCTGGCCTGCGAATTCATTGTGTTTTTTCAATATGGCCCTTGCACTAATTGAGTTTTACACCCCTGGTCCAACCCATTGTGTATCTCACTGCACCCTCATATGCCATGTCTTCAAATATGCATTAAAGACGGATTAAAAGTAAATTTACATTGTAATAGTTGTGACAGCCAACATTGAGGATTGCCACAGGAAAGGAAGACCCAGAGTTACCTCTGCTGCAGAGGATAAGTTCATTAGAGTTACCAGCCTCAGAAATTGCAGCCCAAATAAATGCTTCACAGAGTTCAAGTCACAGACACATCTCAACATCAACTGTTCAGAGGGGACTGTGTGAATCCGGCCTTCATGGTCGAATTGCTGCAAAGAAACCACTACTAAAGGACACCAATAATAAGAAGAGACCTGCTTGGGCCAAGAAACACGAGCAATGGACATTAGACTGGTGGAAAGTTGTTCTTTGGTCTGGAGTACAAATTGGAGATTTTTGGTTCCAACCGCCGTATCTTTGTGAGACGCAGTGTGGGTGAACGGATGATCTCCGCATGTGTATTTCCCACCGTAAAGCATGGAGGAGGAGATTATATGGTGTGGGGATGCTTTGCTGGTGACACTGTCTGTGATTGATTTAGAATTCAAGGCACACTTAACCAGCATGGCTACCACAGCATGCTGCAGCGATACGCCATCCCATCTGGTTTGGGCTTAGTGGGACTATCATTTGTTTTTCAACAGGACAATGACCCAACACACCTCCAGGCAGTGTAAGGGCTATTTTACTGAGAAGGAGAGTGATGGAGTGCTGCATCAGATGACCTGGCCTCCACAATCCCCCGACCTCAACCCAATTGATATGGTTTGGGATGAGTTGGACCGCAGAGTG